TCTTTCTGCGCGGAAGAGCCCTTTCCGAAGAGCTTCTTCTGCAAGGCGGAGAAGCCGGCGACTCTCTTGGCGTCCTTGTTCAAATCCTGCGCGACGAAATCGGGGGGAATGATCAACCTGGTGGAGGTGGTGGATTTGGGTTTCTTGTCCATGAAGTTCTTGAGCATGGTGGTGAAGGTGGGTTCGACCTTGGAGGATTTGGCCTTGAGGAGTGCGCGAGAGGAAGAGGAGGAGGAATTGGGCTTGGTGAATTGATGGGAGGAAGAAGGGTCGGAGACGTGAGAGGAGGTGGATGAGCGGCAATCGTAAGAACTGTAGCGGGAAGAGGGCTTGGCAGCGGAGGCCATTGAGAAAGGTTTGAAATTGAAATTGAAGAGTGAAGAGAGTGAAGGGTTACTAACTACTTGAGCCTTGAGGAATGAGGAGTGACTCGAATGAGTGAGTGAGGTTATTTTAGTCTTGGTTGGGGACACGTGGCGCTCATTGACTGTGTTCCGTTGGCGCTGTACTAATTCAAATTTTCACGTGCTGGGCGCGGACTCTCTTTGGATCGGATGGATGAGATGAGATCAACATTCATTCATTCACCACTTCCACGCGCAACCCATGCTCTCTCATTCTTTGGCTAAACGACCACTGTAGCGCATTTTTAAAAACTTATTATCAAAATAAGGCTGTTTTGAAACAATTTACACCTTTGGGGCTCTTTTATTGGGTGTCGCTATGGGTCATAGCGACACTTATGACACGTGGGTTTTTTTTTTTAGGCTTGATTGGACTGGACTATATATCAGAAAAGCTTCTACAATATAGATACCACATAACCATAGCCATAGTAGCTTCACTATCATTTTCTTTGCTGTTATATGCTGCTCCACGCTTTTTGACCATTCTGGCCTATTTTTGGCCCTTGTTTGCTTCCACTACTGTGTTCTTGGTAGCAATAATAGCATTTGGAGGCGTTTCAAGATTCTCAAGTGAAGATCATGGTGAAAAGGCTGGTGAAGGACTCTTGGATTATGTAGCAGGAAGGACAGAACATACTCAAACACTTCTAAGTGAATGAAGGGTGTACCATTTTCAGGCTTGGTTTAGATGAGCTTAGAACCTTTCTTGTTTAAAATCCATGTTCTATATGACCGAATTGCTGCTTGAAAGACAATTGTACCTATCCAATGTTCTTAACAATTATCACAGCAATATGAACGAAAATAAACTAGTGTATACTTATGAAAATGATGATTGTAAGAAATTTCTTCAGCTTTATCTCTTTATCTCCTTGTCTCATATCTCGATGGCTGAAACGTGATAGTTTTGGCATTAACCCTGTGCATCCTTCTGGGGTAAAATCTGTCTTCCCTTTTAAGTGTTAGAAAATCTACCTTTGGGACCTTCCCTGGTTATTTCAATCACATGGACTTAAATTAGTATTGTTTTTTGGATAAGTTTTTTCCATTTTAAGTCACATATTAGTACAACTGAGGAGAATAACATGTATTTTTAATAGGGACAAGGTTTTGCACCAGAAGAGAACAGAAAGTTATACAAATTAAAATGGATTAGGTTTTTAAAAATTGACAGTTTTAACTTTTAATATCTTTTCCGAATGTAGTTAAGTTGAGAGGCTAAAAATAACTGCAGCTATATTCTAAAACGATTTTCCTATCCTGTATACTAGGTGAATAGGTTAATGAAAGTAGAAATTTTTTATGTAAATAAAGGATTTTTGTGATTTCGACGTAATAAATTTTATTATTTCCAAACAAAATCTTTCTATTTAAAAATAAGATTTTGAATTTGAGTGGATAATATAACTGATGGATTTGGTATGAGGCTGCCACTCATTCATTAAGAGCCTCTTGAGTAGATAGCTAAAGTCTTTAGAATCGTCACAAAAATTAATTACAGAGCTACAAAATATTGCTTAATTATGATAAGTCACTAGAAGTGGCTTAGTGGTGAGATTTAAGAAATATACAAAAGTCTTAAGTTCAAACTTTAATGTTACTATTATAATGTTTAGGTCATTTTATGTGACTAAACTTTCTTCATCTTTTTTTTGTGAAAGCATCTGATCTCTATCAAGTGGCCATATATGCGTTTGAGGGGAACACCATCTATTGAATTTGTTCACTTTCTTTTTATTCCTCTACAAAAATATTTAGGACAGCATCTACCTATCAAGTGGCCATACACTTGGCGAAGAACAACTGTTGGTTTATCCTTTACAATTTTGTATTTTGCATTTATATCCATGGGTTCCAAGCAATTAGGCTCATAAATGTTTGCTATATACTAGAGAAACTTTTATGTGTCCGTTTGTATATTGTGCAAAACAAAAGTGTCTTAGAGTCTGTGTTCTTATTACAAAATTCAGTTTAACAGTGTCCCACCGCTATACCAAACTAGCTAATACTATGATAACTGTACATTGATTTACTAAAAACAAACACATTGTACAAAAATATTTCCCCATCCCCGTTTGATCTCCAAGTTGTTTTTCTTTGGCCTTGGCCTTGTTCATTGTAAAAAAATTATTATAATAAATACATTTTAGATAAAATCCATAGTTGAGATCATTAGTCCTATGATTTGTAAATATAAATATCTCGTGTGATGGGTATTAACTGTCCAATGCAAATGTGTACCACATATCCATGTCAAAACCAGGAACATGTGCCTTGCCCCCAAGCATGTGATGTGGGATGGACACAGGATTGTTTACTTGCCACAAACACGTTGCCTAATTGTAATGTTTAAGGAATTTCCCTAACCTCAATTTTTAACTTCAATAATTACTTTCTCTTTTACTTTCACTCCCTTCCTCTATTAATAGAAGAAAATAAAAACACAAGAGTCAAATGAACAGTTATTTGAAGAAGATGAGGGTGGATAGAAGACCATTTAAAAAGGTAAAAAGAATGTCTTAAAATATGTACATGAAATGAGTGTATACTATATATTATTAGAATGGTTAAGACACTTTTATGTCTCTAACAGTTTCATTGAGAGGATATTAGATAATTATGAATGATTATTTTGAGAGGATGAGAAATTATATTTTTTTGACATTTAAGTGATATAATAATTCACTAAAAATAGGGATTAAAAATGGTTACATACCATGATATCCTCTTTATAAAATGTATAAATTATATATTATAGATGTTATAGATATATATTGTGTGAAATGTGAACATCCATGATAATTTATTTTGAACTGATATATTACATCGATATATCTCATTTAGGTAACTTGTGTTTTTATTTTAACTTGTGGATGTCTTTATTATGTATTTTGTTTAAATAAAAAGTTAAATAAAAATTATATAAAAGAGAAATAATTTATTATTAGTTAGTTACATGTATTGGAACAGTTATGATAGAAAGAGAGTGAGATTAGTTTAAATTTTTTATGTTTACTTGTTATTTAAAGGAAAGAAAGCACAAATAATAAATAAGGATAAATATAAAAATAATTAAAATAAATTAGTTAAAAGGTAAATGTGTCTTAAAAAAATTAAATTATGTTAATATATTCTAATAATAAAATTTTAAATAACTTATAAAATACTCACATTTTTTATTTATATTTAATTCCCAGTTTTTATGTTTGATGGTTAAACCTTATAAAGAAACTTTTTTTTTTATATATAGTAAGTAACAAACTGCATCTTATATGATATTTACTCTCTACTTGGGCGAGAAGAATTTGAGGATAGGAGAGGGAGAAGAATGGTTTTAAGTTAAATGATAAAAAGACAATATTGCTTGATAAAGTGGGGAAAAAGGGATATTTGAGTGAAATTTATGCGAGACCTACTTGAACAATATTTATTTTAAGAAATGGAGGGAGATTTGAGTGAAATTTAGATTAAAAATAATGTCTTTTATCTCTTTCAAACTACCTGTAACTATGTACTTTACCTTTTGTTTGTCTTTACTCCTATGACTTTCATTAGAGTATTTTTTTTGTGTATCATTTTTGAATGTGAAACAAGTCATATTCAATTATGCTCAATTATATTCTATTATGTATTTTTGTATTGTGTATCATATTCAAATATATTGTGTATAGACACCTATATTTGTATGATATTTTAATATATTGTGTATAGACACTTATATTTGTATGATATTTGAATATGTTGTGTATAGGCACTTATATTTATAGGATATTTGAACATAATTAATTATATTCTATTATGTTCAAATATATTTGAATATATTCGTGTATGATATTTTTACCTATATTTCATTATATTATGTGATGTTTCATGATGATTATCATGATATTTAATTATGACATATGATATTAGACTATGTTGCATGCTAATCGGATATGATGAATAGTTATACTTGATATTAGATTATGTTACTTGTGATATTGATTTAAGAGATATGAACTTTCAATCTAACGGTTGAATTTTCAAAATTCACATTTAATATAAAGTTATTGAGCGGTGTAACACTTAGTAAAAGTTACATCGGTGTCGTTTGAACCCTCCTCAAGTTTTTAATATATAAATTAAGTTTACAAAATTTTGCAATGTTTGGAAACATATAATATTTCATTATGTAGATTCAAATCAACGTATAAAATATTTTTATGATTGTCCATCAAATTGAATTAATGACATGAAGAATTGAATAATTTTATTTTTTTTTAAATTGTAAACTTGATTTATACATCAATAGTTTTTATTTTAATAATATAGTAGTTAAAATTTAATATAAAATATAAGTTATTGAATGAAGTAAGTTTACAATGATTTATTCTTATAAATAGTAAATGCATTCTCATATATGTACGTGTGTATATGTATATATGTGTGTGTGTAGAGAGAGAGAGAAAAGAAAGAGAGAGATATGTTGAGTGTTGAAGTAAGTTGTCAATTTATGATCATATGATATCATATATTTTTTAATGATATTACATCTATTACGGGAGTTTGAGATTCAAGCAACCGTAAGAAAATTAATGTTGAGGAAATTTAAGAATGTTAATATGTTATTAAATGTGAAGTTTGTGAATGAGATTTTTGGAGTGGTACCTTATTGAATTTACTAATGACCTTAACAATAGCAAGACAAATCACTTGCATTCATGACACTTTTAATGACAAATAAAAAATACTTTTATGTTAATTCTAGACCTGTTACGGATCCCAGTGATATAGAAAGTCTTAAATTTTCATGTCATTTATAAAAATAATAGATATGAAAAATCTTAACTTTCTATGTTGACTCTAAAAGTAATTGATATAAAAATTATAACGATCTGGCATAGTCCCTATACTAATCAGCACCATTACTAGTAGCAAAAATTTATCAAATGGTTAGGATTGAAAGCATACTAATATATGAATATGTATCATATATAAAGTATATAACAAAATATCAACTACACAAGTATGTATATACAATATAGATACGATTATCCAGGGAAATATAAACTATAGAATTTAAGTTACCAGACAAGTAACTTCTATACATCACTATACAAACTCTACTAAAGGGTAACTTCAAAAAAGAACAACCAGCTCCAGCACCTTGTGGTGACCTCCACTACATAACTCTCAAGACTAATTTATCCCTACCCTACTCCTATACCACATATGATTATCGTAATTCATCCACATAAAAACATGTAAGGATAAACTAAATTTTGAAGGAAACAACATATATACAACATGAAACATCAACAACAATATGTATCATCACATCTTCATTTCATAATACAACATCGCAACCGAACCAACATGTATATTTTAGCATGAGCAACTTAAGATATTTCCACACTATAATCAACTTTAACACCACAATGGAAACCACACAAGTCCTATACACTCGACAAGGCATTTTCTACACAGGATATACAACATAGACTATACAACACAACATGTTCAACACAATACTAGGTATGTCATCACATACTTTAATTAAAAGATCTCCTACAACACATGATGAGTAGTTTAATTGGCTTAACCTTACCGAACCAACAACACAAGGTAATCTTTTTGGCTTACTGGATCAACAACAAATTTGGATATCAATCCACAATACAAAAATTTGATTTCTCAGATGTTGCCTCTTAAAAAAGGAAGCCTAGTACCATTATCAAGGTAGAAAAGTTGGATTTGGGCCTACCACAACATTAACTAGCTTAATTAAGTTACCAATGGAATTAGCCTATCGAATACCCTCTAAATACCACGCTCTTTTGATACTCAATTAGGAACTAAGTTTTTAACTTTGTACTTTACTCAATTGGTTACTTTATACACTAATGTATTGACCTTACTTACACACGGTACCAACTTAGTTCTAGAAGAAACTCAACACAATTCTCCACTTCAAGGATCAACTTTTCAAGAAGGGTTTTTCAACAAATCGAGCTCTCAGAGCACCATGACACAATATCCACACAATGAGATATTCAAATTTTAAAACTTTTTCTCTAGTTCTAGGTTAGTCAACACAACAACTTCATGTATATGTTATATTTTCATCATCTCAACAACACAACGACTTCATGCATGTTACATATTTTCATCATCTCAACAGTACAACAACATCATGGATATAACATACTTAACATAGCTACATAACCACACAACCTACAACTCAACTAAACTTTCAATTAGCAACTCATAACATAATCACCTACATACAACTTATCAACATTCAACATATAAATTTCTTTATCATACAACAACATCCCTACAACTCATCCATCAACATATGTTATCTATTATGCATATCAGATCCTATGTTGTTTATCATGCATACAAGGACAGACTTATACACGACATTCATATCAAAACATATATAAGTATGAGATGAGGTGCATATGGGACTCCCTCAAAAAGCATGCATAATCTAAAAGTCATTATATTAAAGCATGTTGTTATGAGTAAAATCAGAGCAAAAGTAACAAAAAAACTATAATTAGAGCAAAACAACAACAACAAAATTGTTCAAAACACATAATTTCGACTTACCCTTTTGGCATATGCAAAAAGATTGGTCGTGTTTTTCATAAGTGCCACTTCTTTTGAGATCATTCCCGTCTTCATTAAAGCTCAATTTGATATTCAAATGACTAAGTACCTTGTGGAATTTCCTTTCAAAATAGGCTTGACTCTGGTAAGCATATCGAAAAGTTTTAAAGAGACCAACAATGTGATTGTTCTATTGTTATCTTTAATTGTAAGGGGAGGAGTTTGGGACAGAGCAAATAGACTTGGTTGATAAAGAAAGAGCAAATGTACAAGTTTTCTATATAGAAAAATAATGTTATCAAATAGAAAAACATGAAATGTAATATTGAAAGCACTAGTGGAAAAAAGACTTTTAAAATCGGTTAAACAACCGATTTTAAAAGTTAACTTTTAAAATCGGTTGTTTTATAACTGATCTTAAAAGTCTGGCTGTTGAAAAAAAATTAAACTAGAACGGGCCGTTCCAAAACCGGAACGGACCGTTCCAGTATGATCAAAATGTCTAATAGGTCACTTTTAGAACGCCCCGTTCTCCCAGGGAGAACGGCCCGTTCTCCTTGCAGAACAGTCCGTTCTCCATGGAGTACGGCCCGTACTCCTTAGAGAACGGTCCGTTCTCCCTGGAGAACGGTCCGTTCTCCTTGCAGAACGGCCCGTTCCAGGTTCGAACCCAAACTGGACCTACAACGAAAACAGAGACGAGAAAATCATGAAAAAACGAAAAGAGACACAATAAGAACATGAGAAGACGAAAATGAAAACGAAAACGACAACGAAATTTACCTTATTGGAGACTTTAGAAAATGAGAGCTTCAGGGAAAGATTGAAGAGAATGAGAATGGAGGGGAATATAAAAGATTTCTGACGATACTTTTAAAATCGGTTCTTAAACAACCGATTTTGTATACTACATACAAAATCGGTTTTGAAATAACTGATTTTAAAAATAGTACTTTTAAAATCGGTTATAAAAGAACCGATCTTAAAAGTGGCACTTTTAAGATTAGTTACATAATAACCGATCTTAAAAGTACTTTTAAGATCGGTTATTTTATAACCGATCTTAAAAGTGCCACTTTTAAGATCGGTTCTTTTATAACCGATCTTAAAAGTACTTTTAAGATCGATTATATTATAACCGATCTGAAAAGTGTCACTTTTAAGATCGGTTAAATTTCAACCAATCTTAAAAGTGTTCGTGTTATTTACAAAATTGCCACCGCGTCACTTTTAAAATCGGTTACCTTATAACCGATCTTAAAACTCTGATTTTAAATCCAATTTTTGCATTAGTGAAGAAGAGTAATAACAACAAATCCTACAACTATTGGAGAGCATGGTCCTATAGGGAATTAGGTAGATTTGGGTGCTCCGTCCAAAGTAGGGTAGGTGTTCAATCTTGTCTCCATTGGAGGCATCAGACTAATGACACTTGACATATCGCATGTAACGCACATCATCCAAGTATGGCTTCAGTTTCTCCTTGCCCTTACAGATGGAGTAAAAATGAGCCTTGGGATGAGTGTCTATGATGAAGAACTTTGTCTATGGCTAAATCTTCCATGATCTGTACACTTCACCAAGCATGGGACAAATGATGAAGGGTTCCCTCGTAACTTAGCTCCAAAGTAACTTACAAGTGGATCAGGTTTTGGATTTCATGATGTTGTTATCGGATAAGTTGAGTTGTTTGGGCATTCATATGTGGTGGTGCATTAAGATCAATGGGCCTGAGTTTAGTCGGGAAGGTTGTCCTTGGTTGGATGACAATCCCAAGGACAATATCACATGATAAGGAAACTTCTTAGTGACATTAAGGATTGGAGGTACTCAATCAACTTCAGTCATATGCTCTTGCAATCATTGCAATTCCCTCTTCTCCTTGGAGTCCATACTCTAACACTCAGAAGTGTCAATTAGAGGCACAAATGATAGAAAATCTTCCGACATGAATAATAAATACAGACTCCTCAAAGTTTATATTTAGCACGTGCATTGCACGTGTTACAATACTAGTATAATAAATATGTCAATTCAACACTCATACAGGTAAAATGAAAATATGTTTAACTTTAAATAAGGACCTACAACTTGACTTATTTGTTAAAAGTCTGACTTAGCCTAACATAACTTATTTAATAAAAAAGTCAGATTTAAATTTTTTAAAAAAATTTATTTATTTAAAAGGTTGAGTTTAAGTTTATAAAAAAATTGTTATCCATATAATATAATAAGAAATTAATTGTCAATATATATATATATATATATATATATATATATATTATCGATAATATAAATAAATAATTAAATTTACAATGCAAAAAAAAAAAACTAATTATCAATATTTTTAACATTTTTACAAATTTTTACGTTTAAACTTTTTACATTTTCTATTCCTATAAAATCTAAGAAATTGAAAATAGAAACTATAGCAATTGCATATTCATCTCCACTTTCTTTCATACTCATAGTTGATTATTTAGAATGTTCTAAATAGAATATAGTGAATACTTAGAAAATTATTTTTGGATAAGATTTTATTCTTTTATTATAGTTTGTGCATGTCTCTACATTGACATACATGTATATGCATGACCGTCCTTCTAACATTAATTTTTAAAATCTAAATTTTAATAATGATAGAATAAATTATTATTTTTATAACATAAAGTAAAAAAAATCTGCACACATATTTAAAAATAAATTTGTTAATTTGTTTTAACTTTATTTATCTAAGATAAGTTAATATTGCATACCAAACTTTTTAAAAAAATGTCAGATTTATAAAATAACTCATAGTAGATAGTATTTTTAGGGCAGTTTATTTATTTTTAATTTACTTTAACTTTTCATTCTATTCTTCTAAAAAACAAATTTTGATAATTTTTAAAAAATTATAAATAATTATAAATAATTTTATATTATAATATAATTATTTAGTATAAATTTAAATTAAAACTTATATAATAAAAATATTTATTTATTAACAATTTATTGACAACATGAATCAAATTTAAATTTAAATGATAATTTATTTTAAATCTTATTTACAAAAAAAAATACTAGTTACACTTGAAACAGATTCCTCGTAACTGAGTTCACTCACGGCAACAAACTCAAGTTGGTTTGACCATAGGCAACGCTAAAACATAATCTTTTGTCGCACTTCTTTTCCACAATTCGCCCTATCATATATTTTTCACAGTATTTTAGCGCGAATACAGAACCCACATCCAAATTCCCAGCGGCAACAGCCTCAATTCTTTTTTTTCAAAAATTCGTGTGACCCCAACTGCTATCCCTTAATTTTTGTCTTAAAAAATTTAGGGTTTTTATCTTTATTTCAATTTTAAAAAACAAATTATTGCTGCCCTTTTCTTACATCGTGATCCTGCATCTCCACAAACTGAGATTCATTAAGAAGTTCGCGCAGAGAATCAATGGGCCGTTCTCGTGGGAATTTTCACGCTGATGAGGACCCCCACCAGAGGTTTCTTTCTCTCTTTACTCTTCTTTTCTTATTATCTTTTCTTGTTGTGTGAGTGAGGATGTCAATTGTGATTGAATTTTGTTGTTTTTCTGGATGTGTATACCTGATCACAGTTGCAGTAAAATGCTATGCTTAGTTTGTCCCCTGATGTCCAACTGAAATTTTCTTTATCTTTTCTCTTTCCTTGTGTTTTCTCTATTTATTTATTATTTTTTGCTTGTGTAGGTCAAGGAGAAAAAAGAATGCTGCCAGTGGAGAAAATTTAGAATCTGGAGCTTCAGGTAATATTTTTTTTAAACGTTATGCAGTGTTGTAATAAGTTATGTACTACAATATGCAACATATTATAGTGGATTAATCTGCTATATTATCTTCACTAATTTAAATTTACTGAAATGAGGCAATCACAATTATAGATGAAATGTCTAAGAAGATAAGGAAGGTTGCAGAAACAGTTTTGGGTGAATCAAAAGGTTTTGGCTGAATGATGAAGAGTTTTGGTGATGAATGAAAATGTTCATGCTTTAAAATGTTATGGGTTGAATAGTGATGAGAATTGGGCAATGTATAGGAATGCTAGGAATAGAGAAGAGAATCTGTGGATGATCTCTAAAGCTTTTAAAGAATTTCACAAAAATCTTCAGACAAAAATTGAGAACTGAAGATATATAAGCTTGTCAAAAATAGAGAAATGAAAATAAAAGATTTTGATCGATTAAGATGTACTAAGGAAAGGACAACAAATCATAATATTAAAAAGAGATGGGAGAATTATTTTTATAAATTTTTCAATGATAGACAAGGAATGGCTCCTATTATGGAAGGACTAAAAATCCAAGATGAGGAAAATACGGCCTATTACTCTAGAATTCGGATCGTAGAAGTAAAAGAGCATGGATAATAGTCAAACTGTTGGTTTCTCTTTTGTAATTACTAGTGTTGAGAATTTCAAAAGGTGAAACCTAAGACTTTCCTATAGAGATAGTATAACTTAAAGGCTCAGCTTAAGTTCTTGTTTAATTTAGTTTTCAACGTGTTTACCAGGGACAATCTCTTGTTGCATCTTTTTGTAGATGATATAGTTTTGATTGTAATCAAGGAAAGTAATACACTTTCAACTTGAACTTTGGAGACAAACTTTGAAAACAAAGGGTTTTTGCTTATGTATGAGTAAGACAGAGAATGCATTGCAATATCTGCAATAGAGAAGAGGAATGTAACATAGAAGTAAAAATGGGAGAAAAATAAGTTTTATGGTTATGCCATACTCTATGGCAGTGAATGTTGGACTTTTAAGGACAAGAAAAAGATAGGACATAGGAGTGACAAAGATGAGAATCTTAAGATGAATGTGTGGCCACATGAGAAAAGATAAGATATAAAAAGACTGTAAATGAGGAGAGATTGATGTAGCACTGATTGAGGAAAAGATGACAGAAAATCAGTTAAGGTGGTTTGGACAAGTACCAAGAAGGCCCTGGGAAGCATCAGTGAGAAGAGTAAATTGCATGTTTTTTAGTCTTATGAAGAGAAGAGGGAAACTAAAAAGGACCTTGGAAGAAGTTGTCAATAGGAATCTCATGGCACATAATATCTTTAAAATTTTGATCTTTTACCAAGCCTAAAGATGCCACGTGAACCATATATAGCTGACCTCACATAGTGGGATAAGATGTTGTTGTAAAATGAGATAGTCACAACTGTTTACATGTATGTACAACATATCGTCAGCAACAATGAATATATTAAGGTGTATTTATTTTAAACACTATAAGTTTGTAACTCCAGTGTATTAAAGTAACTTAAATTATGTCATCAACAATTATCAAATGCAAAGTTCTACAAATCTCTCTTTGCATACGCTGAATAATCTTTTGCTGAAGATATTATATGTGTGGCCTGGAATTTCTGTTTTCATTTATAATAAATGAAACATGAAAAAATGTAGTGATACACTGGAGTTGTACTGGAAGGCTGGTGGAATGTTTGTTAGGTTAAAGAAACTAAACATTATTTTTCACACATGAAAATACTATAGCAGTGATAGTTACTTGAACCTTTAATGCTTTGTTGATTCATGGATATTGTTGTTTGAAAATAATTTTACTTATTTTTATGTGAATCAGGCCAAGGAGCAGGTGATGGGAAAAAGGCTCTGTACCACTGCAATTATTGTAATAAAGATATAACAGGAAAAATCCGTATCAAGTGTGCAGTGTGCCCAGATTTTGACTTGTGTATAGAGTGCGTTTCTGTTGGAGCTGAGGTGCAACCTCATAAAAACAACCACCCATACAGGGTTATGGTCAGTAACTGTTAATCTCAAATGTTTCATTTAATGTTTAGTTAATTACTTAATTTAAAGCTTTTTTTACAGAGAAAATTACGTGTTATTTTTCCTGCTACACTGCTAGCTGAGCTGTCTGACTGTCTCTGTTCAAATATAGGATTAATCACTTAAGTTCTATGAAGCACATCTATAAAATGCTGTTTGACACGTTTTAGACACGATACTTATTACACACGCGTAGACATCTCTATGGCATAGCTTGAACACCTTTCTGATACAACTTGGACTCAAGCCAAGAGAGTGAACTGACATATTTTCTTAGAGCTAAACACTTATCTAAACTCCTATTATTAAAAAAATGAAAAATTTGTCATTTCTAAATATTGCAAGGCTCGTAACATCTTTTTTTTTTTTTTTTAATCTTGTGAGACTCATTTTACTAAAAATACTAGTTGTTTTAACTTTTAAGAGATATGATTTGTCTTCTAAGAGACATTATCATATAAAAATTGTAAAGTTTATATATATACATACATACACACACACACACACATACCACATATATATACTGTGTCTCCATGTCCTATATTTTAGACATTAGCTGTGTTTCTGTGTTTGTGTCATGTTGGTGTTTCACAGCTTAAGTTAGATTGTAAGTTTGTTCTGAAACTGTTTATTTTGTTACCTTGTGTGAAATGTGATTCATATTTGTGAAAATTTATGTTTAAGTTAATCTGTCCCAAGCTGTTAAGAAAATTGTGTTACTGCTGGTCTTGTCTATATTGTTGTATTCCCTTATGAAGGTCTGTTTATATATGATTTTATTTTGACAGGATAATTTGTCTTTCCCTCTTATTTGCCCAGACTGGAATGCAGATGATGAAATTTTGCTTCTAGAGGTACTTCAAATTTATTTCCTAGGAGTAATGGTGACTAGTGGTTCAAAACTATAAAGCATGTGTTCCAAGAAGATATCTCTTATTTATATCTGATCTTTTGAGCAATAACTTTTGGGTGTTAGGGAATTGAAATGTATGGCTTGGGAAACTGGGCAGAAGTTGCTGAGCATGTTGGAACCAAAAACAAAGAAACATGCATAGAACACTATACGAATGTATACTCAAACTCCCCATTTTTTCCCGTTCCGGTATGATGGGCATCAAATGTAGCTGCTATGAATTCTTCTTATTATAGTTATTCTTATAATGGTATATTAAATCTTGACCTGTCTTATTTTCTAGGACATGTCTCATGTTGTTGGGAAAAACAGAAAAGAACTCCTTGCCATGGCCAAAGGGCAGGGTGAAGACAAGAAAGGTTTGTCACAATCCACAACATTAGTTTCTAATTTAATTTCACATGCATAGTATGTTGTTTTAAGCAGACACATCTCATTTACCACTGTTGGAAAAGCCACTTTAGTTGTGGTCACTCCTAGCCTGTCTTAGTTGCAGCCTCTTTGGGATTGCATAATTGCAATCTCAAGGGCGGTGTTTAGTCGTACATCAATTAGAGATATGACTTGAATAAAGCTTACGAAGCTTACGAGCTTCTTTTGTAGGGTGGAGTGAAGCCCTAAGCCCAAATTTTAAGAACCACTTCTTTTGAATGACATGAGCTTGTTGCCTTTAACTTAGTTTATGTGTCCAAATATTAATACCTGAAGGCCTCCTGTAGATTAATATAAATGTACCACATGATGCTGAAATTTGCATAAAATATTTTAGATAAGAGTGATAAATTTACAATCATATGTGGCTTCTGATTATTTTGCATGATTGATAGGTTTTTGTGTTATGACATTTTTATAATCATTTGTCACTTGTGATTGGCACAGGATTTTCCATGGGGGATCTTAGTTTAAAGGCAGAATCTTCCTTTTCTCCATCTAGAGCCAAGTAAGGCTGTCATCTTTATATGTTTTATATCATGCCATCTCTATACCACATTCTTTGATGTCAATTTGTTGATTCAGAGTTGAAGATTCCCATAAAGCTGGCTCCGCTAACCGTTTGAATTCAGGTAAAGCAAAATAAGTTCATGGCTAATTAATTATCCATACATCAAGTTACCTGTGTTCATCTTTTTTGGATCTCTATCTTGCTTTTATATTGCAGAGTCTGATTCTGGCCCCTTGGGTAACACACATGGTGCAACTGGTGCTAACCAAAAGGCATCTAATGTGGGCCGGGGAAAAGGAGGAGTCATCAAAATGGAAGGTGTGCATTTTTATATTTGGTCCTGAACCCCAATTGACTTTTAATAAATTCTATCGTTTGGATTTTCAATTCCATAGAAAATTGAAAAAAGAGTTGAAGGATTCTTGTGTTTTGCATGATTTTTCAACCATGGCAACAAATTAAAATTGAGATGTAGCAAGTATTCTATTGCTAGTATAACTAAAACTAACTTTTTGTGTATGCTGAGGTACGGTAAAGTGGGCGCAGCTTCTTGCTTTAAACTCTTGACACTTGCATCTTATCCTTACTGAAGTTAGCTTACCTATCTGCAATGCATGTTCTTCCTGGAAATTAATGATGCATATTCTGTATTAAACTTCCTACTTTCTATGTCATTGGCAGATTCTCAAATAGACAGAGATTTTGGAGGAAAGAAGCCAACTTCCTCAGGCAATGAAGGCCCTTCTTTAGTAGAATTGAGTGGTTATAATGCCAAAAGACAGGAATTTGATCCTGAATATGATCATGATGCTGAACAACTACTGGCTGAAATGGAATTTAAGGACACTGACACTGATGATGAGCGAGAGCTGAAACTACGTGTGTTGCATTACTTTTCAAAAAGGTAAACAACCAATTTATTTTTATACACTTCTCTTTCTGAATCAGTTACAGTCAACCGTTAACAGTAATGATGTTATCAGGGTATTGGCTATGCATTGCTCACACTTTGTCTTTAAATTGAAAAATGTTACAGGCTCGATGAAAGAAAGCGTAGGAAGGATTTCATACTTGAAAGAAATTTATTATACCCAAATCCATTTGAGAAGGATTTAACACCTGAGGAGAAGACAGTATGTCGGAAATATGACTTATTCATGCGCTTTCATTCTAAAGAGGAGCATGAGGAACTGATTAGAATAGTTATCTCTGAACATAGAACTCGTAAAAGGCTTCAAGAGCTTAAGGTTTGAGACATGAATGCCTTTAAATTATTCTGGACATTCTCACCTTTATTCTCTCTTTTGGAAAACTAGATGCTTTTTTGTGGGGCATTTTGTTATCTTTATCTTTTTTCTGTATTGTTGTCCTTTGGTTGAATGTATGTAGAAACTGCTAGATATGAGCATTGTACTGCTTGTGCGGATTAGGAAAATTTACATACTAATCAGTCTGGTTATACCATTTTTTAGGTGTCTTACAAGCATCTAAGTTGGCAGGATTCCAATTGACCTATCCTAGTTTTAGATTCGGTTGCAAGAATTGGTTGTGTTAATATATCAAAAGTTAGATTTTTATATTAAATGGGTGCTTCAATTTGACTACCGATATAGATTATATAATGTGCATACTGCATGCACAAATCAAACAATTAACCCTAACTCTTCATGTTTGTAATACACTGTGTTGCAGCAAGCCCGGGCTGCTGGTTGCCGCAATTCAGCTGAAGCTGATAAATATCTGTTACATAAGAGAAAAAGGGAAGCTGAAGAAAGTGCTCGTAGGACAAAAGAAAGTCCTCAGGTTGGCCCAAGCAATCAGGGGGTTCCAAATGCATTAATGTCTCCGGACTCTGCTGGCAAGGATTTGAGTGCAAGACCTGCAGGACCTGCTACTTCTAGTTCTGTCAACGAAATGGATGTCACGGGATACTATGGCGCAGATTTACTTTCTGAACCGGTAAACATGCAGTCCTTCCCCCAAAATCCTTTTAAATGCTGTTACTTTTCTGTTGGGTGCGGTTAGTGTTGGAAGTTTCATATTGACTAATGATATGACTAGATAGTGTGTATGTGGAGGAACCCTTACCACTTCAACTAGATTTTAAGGTTGAGTTGGACTGATGGACTCAAATCCAAATTTTAAGACAGCATCAAAGCCTATCTTAGTGGTTGTTATTGTGCCTATTGAGCCACCTATTATCATGCCATTATTAGACAGTCTTGTAACTTCACATTCAAGATGTTTAGTCATTGACGAGAGGAATGTGTCAAGGATCTCAGATTGTTTAATAATATAATCAAAATGGTATATATAAGTGAGGCACAACCTAAACACAAATTCTAAGAATTTCTTAAACTTAGTATCTTTTTCCCCCTCCCTCTATGTATAAAATAGTGTCTTTGACAAGTTTTCCTTTTAAATTAGCCCACTGTTCATTGATTTTCTGTTTCTACCTTGGCAGGAGAAACGTTTATGTTGTGAGCTAAGGTTGCCTCCAGCCATATATCTAAAGATGCAAGAGCAACTGTCTCTACAAATACTTGCTGGCACTGTCTCTGCAAAATCAGACGCCCATCAGTTGTTCAAGATGGATGCCATGAAAATTGACAGGGTGTATGATATGCTCATTAAAAAGGGAATTGGTTCACCCTGAGGCCTCCCATGCATCTGATGTATCACCTCATGATAGATTATTCTCTTCCAGCCTTCCTTGATTAAAATAAATTAAACTTGTATAACAAAGTTGATAGAAATTTTGAAGTACTGCATCAAAGCTTTAGTAATGGGCTGAGTTAGATAAAAGATGGATGGACTATACACACAGGTTAATTATGATTTTATCTGACATCTCTCATGCTTCTCTCCCTACCCAACTCACCAACTCCATGAATGTGGTTGCATCTGTACGGAGTGGATAGACATGGCAAGCTAAAGTAATGTATTATTATGTAAGCAGGGTCAAGGTGTTGGTTTTATTTTAAACTTGGGTAGACTCAAATTTTGTTTATTCAAAGTCTTCTATATCTATAGAGTTTCTACAGCACTCAAGTTTTTAAGGTACTGATGCCCTTTGATGGCTTGTTGCACAATTATGGGTTACTCTTTCTCATAATAAAGTATAGGTTTATTTGTGTTTTTGATTTCCTTATTTTTGTATTATCTGCTATTTTAGTTGTTCATTGTTCATTGGCCAAACAAGTTTAACTTTTAAAATTAAATAAAGTTGGTTTTAACATAAATTTTCTTCCGTAGAAAATCTTCAAATTATTATTTTTATTCAAATATATTTGATGGTTTATGATAAATTTGAGATATGGAGTAATTCTAGAACTTTAAAATTCAGAAATGTGATAAAATTTTGATATAATGCTAATTTTAGTTTACAAATAAACTTTTTTATTTTAGCTTGCTATTTTCTTCTCCTATAAGCAATTTTGAAAAAAAAAATCTAAATATACCCCAAGTCTGCTTACCAAACCATACCAAAATATAGAAATATCTATCATGAAAGATTGGCCGTCCATTTCATTATTTTCCCATCTCTTCAACTTCTATTACATCATTTATTATACTGTCTCTATTATAAATTAAATGCAGCTTTAGTATTTAAAAAATATTAAAAATAATTGGTGTTCTTATTTTTTAATGTAATGTAATTATTTTTTTAATTTACTTTTTATAAATGATTCAACTATCACAATTAAAAGTAATGTATTTATTAAAAGAGTGAGATTATTTTAAAATTGTATAAAAATTGATAAATTTATTATTTTTAATTTATATGCAGAAACATTAGATTATAGTCATTTTGAGATGGAAGGAGTATCTTTTATTTTTTCTCTTTATGTCCTTTCTATCCGTGCATCTATTTTTTTTTTTTGGGTATGTACGATAATTTTGACATGGTGGTAGATAGATAGATAAATTTACTTAAGCGAAGCATGGGGTTCGAGACTTTTTAACCAGGAAATAAATAGACGGGAGAAACTTAAATCATGTATTCAAATTTGCACGCGAGAATTTTATCAACATTCTTTAATTTATTGCTTGTATATTTACAAAAAAAAAAAAAATTGCTTAATATGACTATAGGATTTTAGATTTTGTCAGTGTGTTAAAGGATTGTAGTGTATAAAAAAAGTCGAAGGGTTATGGATTTGAAAAGATTCGAATCATGAAACAGTCATTATGAAGATTTTACCTTCTCGAACCGATGGTGAACTTTAGTAGCATTGTTATCCAGTTAAAGGCTATAGCATTTAAGTGAAGAACAAAAGACATGCTTAAATTAGTGCTCGAATAAGTGACTTAGATAAGGCAGAAATAAAACTGCAAAAGAAGAAAAATAAATGTAAAGGATCCACAGCTAATGCAAACCACAAAGCATTTTTGAAAATTAAAAGTTTCATATCATACATAGCTTTCAGTTAATTCCATAACAACTTAAAATTCAAAAACAAAATTCATAACTTGTTCTTGAAAGCCATCCATGAAGACCACTTAAACCTTTTACTTTACAATTTAATCATGTATAACAATAAAAAAAATCTTGTAATCAATTATTTTCGTTTTGCAATTCTATTATTATGTACATTTTTTTTTCCCTAAGATCCGAATATTCAAAAGTCACTTTAGATCTTAATATCATCTCTATCAACTTGTTTAAGCATAGAATGTTAGTTTAAACATTAATGTTTACTGATCAGCACTATTAGAGCACCTCTAAAGGAGGTGCTAAGGTAGTTTGTAAAAACTAATCATCGTCCCTTATTATAAACTCTCATTGGAGTGGAGTGACATGACAATGAAAATTGTTAAAAATTAAGATATGTACTTTCTCCAAAATACTTTGCTTGAGTTCATGTGGAGAGGTTTGATTTGTTCTCCCATTAATTTCTTTTTTAAAATTTATCAAAAAGTGTAATATGAGTTGTCAAAAAGTGTATGTACTTATAAACAACTCCCATTAAAGCAAAAATTATATAAATATAATATAAATTATTTATAAATGATGCGACACAATAATATCCATTTAAAGTGAATGAAAATTCCCTATAAACAACTCCCATTTTATGTGCTCTTAGTGGCACTAATAGAAACGAGTCACTGCTTGAAAATTAAAGAGGAAAATGCAACAAAGAGAGGTAGTGTGCATGTGTTATTGATGAAAAGAGACAAATTATAATAGAAAAATATTTTCAAAATTACACTAAAAACAAGAACACTCGATTAGTAAAAATTTTTAAATCGTTAAATTGAAAAACCCATTAAATATGAATAAAAAGTATAAAAAAAATAAGAAATACAGACTTTATTTAGAAAATCAAATCCATTGCCCACTCGAAGATCAACATGCACTTGGTTAAAAATTCATTCCCTCTCATATCGAAATAGAAGAATATAAACATGGAAGATTTGGTTAAAACATTCATTCCCTCTAATATTGAAATAGAATATAAACATGGGAGATTTTGTAACACTTTAAACTTGTAAGATTCATGGCCAAAAGCCAAAACTACTGAAAATCACAAATTACAGACTATACTCATGAGCTAACTATGATACGCAGTTTCAACTGATATGTGCAATTGAGCATCTACCAACCACGACCTACATGGAGCCTAAAATGTATATTAATACCATCCTATAGAAGTTGATCTCATTAACCCAAGAACATAAGCTATAACGCTATACACTACAATTATCCTCAAGTCAGAAACTTGAAAATCATTATCCTCTGCATATATAACTACCTCGGGGCTTCATTTTGTTTTATATACAAGGTGATTCCACCTTCAGGTATATTCAGCAGGAGAGAAAAAATTCCCCATTTAGCTCTATCATATATTCATGCAGCTCGTATTACTTCTGCTGCATCAAGTTTTGGTTCAGAACCATCAAAATTTTCCTCACTGTCCTCATCATCATTGTCAGCATCATTATCATCATTTTCATCAACATCGTCGTCATTGTCAGTGTCAGCATCATTGTCATCACCAGAGTTATTATTCTTGTTTTCATTAAAGGCCAGAAGAGTCTTCACAGCCTTGTCAGCTTCATCATCACAGCCACTACCAGAGTTGTCATCCTTGTCTTCGTGAATGGCATAGAGTGGCTTCCTCAAAGCCCCCTTCATGCTTTCCAGGTAAGTAGGTGCCTCCAAACCAGATAAATCTGGCTCAACCCTAGCAACTTCAACTTTGACAATCGATGATGGTTTATTTACTACTATTGCAGAGCAATCAGACTTAGATCCACCTACCACTGCAGAATTAGCTGACATCCGAACACTGCACCTGACGTTTGAAGACAAATAGCTGCAAATGTCAGGCTTTCCCTGTATATCAACCCACCTGTTACTGATCCAATCTCGGGAAACCCGAATGTTCTTCTTGTCGACCATTAGGAATCTCTCTTCACCTAAAGAGAAAACCATACTACCAACCATGAGATATATATAACCCAAACAAGGCATGATTCCCAAACTCATGGACTGTTCATCCATGAGCCAGTGAACTATAGCACAAAATAATTAAAGAAAAAAAATGTGTATTGCATCCTACCAGGGCTAAAAACCTGCAGGATTCCATCTTCGCTAACATTAACTGCAGTTATGACACCTTCCCACCATCCATCACACCACCAGGCATCCACCGGCACTCCAATCTCAAAAGTATGACTTGTAGTATATTCAGGAGGGCATGGCCGTACTGTTAAGCGGCCTGGACATCGGATACCCAACTTGTCAGGAGCTGCCACTCTAGATGCAGGGATCCATTCCTACAAAAGTGTTAACAACAGGGCTGAGAGGGCTAGGACCCATAGCTTTCCCTAGCTTCACCAATAGTGCCCAATAGATAATTGGTGAGATGATTGGATTTCTAAGTGCAAAAATCATTACAACAAGTATTTGTATGATGCTAGAAAAAACACAGTAGATAGATAAATAGATAAGCCATTGCATACCTCTAGTTTCTCTGGTCCATCTACATCCAGCAAATCCTCATATTGGACCTTCAGCTGCTTCGGAGACATACTCAAGATTTTACATCTAAACCAGCATCCTCTAATGCCACTATCTTGACAGAGAAACTCTATCTTTTCACCAACTTGGAAAGACAGTTGAGGTTTTGGTCCAATAACCTTAATACCCATTGTTTTCCTTGATAGTTTTAATCTTAAACTAGGGTATTTTGGTTCGCATTTTGTCATTTCATTTGTAGGATCAGAGATTTGCAGACCAGATAAACCCTTTTCGAGCATTTGATCCTTAGAACTTCTATTCCTCTTATTGCTGGACCTTAAAGGATCATCTTGAGTAAGGTTCTCATCATCATCTGTGTGTGACTTTTCACACTTTGCCTTTCTCTTGGAGAAAATAGGACTATTCAAACAAGAAAGTATAGATTGGTTACTATATCCACGCAACTTTGTAAGTGCGAAGGGCTTAAGCTTATTGTTTTTAAACTGCCTAAAGCATGTATGGATCTCAGATAAAGAGGTATGAGGCACAGCAGCCAGGTATTTATCATAATGCTTAGGAGTCAACACTGTTGCAGGACCATTGACACACTCAGCACTGATCACCTGAACATGAGGTGTGATGAAAACCTCTCCCTCTTGCAGAGTCAGCTGTGGAATCACATGTTTAACTTCCTGACCATGGTGAAACCACCGTACTTTCACTTTTTTTTGTCTCTTCTTGTCTTCATACATATCTTCCAAGTAACCAAGATAGTGGTTTTCTTCTTCAGCCATGATATATACAAATGAATGAACCTAAAATTTAGAAGAAAATTGAGAATCATAAAAATTAAACCCCGTCCAAAAACAGAAAAAAAGTAAATGATAACATGAAGTAGGAAAAATTGAGCTATAATGAAAAATGAAATAATTTTCTCACACTTATGGTTGTTCCATTCCTGCAAAACCCTGAGTAGTGCTTCAGCTGTTTAGCACAAAGCCAAGCCAAGCCTGACCATTCAATATCTGAGCTTTGAAATTTCAGTTTTCTAGAAATCTGCAGTACAAAAAACAGGGGCATGGTGAATTAATGGCATAATGATAGAAAGGGAAATATACAGGGATGAATTTAATTACTTGTCATACCATTTTATCAGGTATAATCTTATTATTGACATTGACTCCAGGTGTTAAAATCTTAAGAGATTCTTCGGCTTGTGCCGAATCATCCAGCTGTACACCTGTCACAGAAAGATTATGGTTGCTCAAAATATTTTCTCTCCACAACTACAGAAAAACTGTTCAGAAAGAATTGGTGAATCTAATTGTAGCAAAATAAGGAAAAGAAAAACAATATACACAAGATAAAAAGAAGAGATTCATCTAAAAAACCAGTAATTCAGATTGGCATAAAAAAGGGCCTAAAGCATTTTATTAATTTATTGGACTAAAGGATCACTAAAATAACCACATTAAGATGTCAGCATCCAACTGCAATTCAGATGTAGTGTTAGTTGATCTCTGGTTCCTTTTTGTAACAACGCTAAACTATTGGTCTTAGTATTTGTACCTAAATAAAATACACTTCATACTATATATGACATCCATATCTTACTTTCTAGGAACAACCAAAATAGTGAATTAGCAGGATACAGACTGAACCACAATCTTCATCAACAGAAGGTCCTTATTTGAATATAAGAATAGGAATGAGGCCACACCAGCATGAATTAGCAAGTTCATTAACATCAATTGATTTCTTTTTTATTAGTGATGACAAAGTTGTTCTTAAAACTGATTCAGGAAACAGATTGACATCAATTACCCAACTTAATACCTAAATTATCTTCATAGACACAAAAAAGAAATTCTAATTGATCAAAAGATACCTTATCAAGTCTTACCATATGAAATAAATACAGGCTCACATCCAAATAAAAAGAGGAATACAAGAGTGGCTGTGTAAGGAATATGGGACTAGCGAATGGACAAATGTATGCAGCCTTACCCCAATGAGGGGAGAGGCTGATTTTATGAATGACTCATGGTCGCTAGGCAACAATCCTACCGATGTGTCATGGCTCAAGCAAAAATAAATCAACAAAAATGAAAACCAATAGGTTTCAACATCAATTGCTACTCAATCAGCAGAAGACGATCACACCAAGCTTAATGCTTCAATCTTAAACAAAAAGGAATGAAATAAAATTGACAAATCCATAGATCTAAAACACAAACAGATCACAAAAATCCCAAATCCTAGCACCGATGGTAAAAGGAAATATATCAAGTTGTACAGTACCCATTTCTTCAAGCATCATAAATCTGGCCCAGAAAAACATCTCGATCTCTCTTTCAGCAAGCTCTATTCTTTATTAGTAGAGTGACAGCAACATCAAAGAAGGAAAGGTATGCAATATAAATATTAAACAAAATCTAGTCAAAACAACTCGCTACACCAATGGTTTATTGACATTTGTAAGTTCCTTCTTTATGTGTAGGTGGAGGGCAGGTTGGTATGGGGCCAGGGCCAACTGAGCCACAAGCCCATTATTAAATATATTTCCATGCAATTAACGTAAGAATTGTTTTTTCCCCTCTCTGTGGTGATTTTAATGTGAATTACTATTGCATTAAGTAGTCATGTAACTAGCATGTGATCTTTCGGTGGCTATCAGTCAAAATGTTAGATGAGATAGTATTCTTTGGGCCAGGCCTAGTATTATACATAGTAGTTAGTAGCGCACGATAGCAACACCATCGAATGGTGAGATTGTCCCAATCCTTGGAACCGGGTCACATTGTGCCTGGTTATCATGAGAGAAGCAGCGCAAATCATGCCAGTTTGCGACCTATGCTGTCTTTATTTTGAATATGGGGCTGAAGACTGCTTTGACCCTAACTGAGTGCCGGTTTAAGCTTTTAAAGGGGGAGAAATTGGGATATCAGAGAATTTTAAGTTGACTTGTTTTAGGTTTCCCAAAAATTTGTTTGTGCGCCCTTGCAAGTGCAAGTGCCAGCCTCAGTAGAGCTCTTTTCCATAGTCCTCCACAAGTTTACAGCTCTACTCCTCTCGTGTGCTGCACCGCACTTTTCTGGCCAGTTTTCACTGTAGTGGCCTATAAGCCTATTCAATATCCACTAACATTTGCAAGTGCAAGCTCTAGCCTCAGCAGAGCTCTTCTCCACAATCCTCCGTGAGTTTACAGATCTACTCCCCGTCGCTCACCATACAGCAATTTTCTGGTCAGTTTTTGCTGTAGTGGCCTATGAGCCTATCCAATATACATTACCATTTTAACCATGTTTATATTTCTTTCTGCTCTGTTATGTCTTCAATCTCTCTAAAAAAAGTCAAAACAACAAAACTTCGTTTCAGTTTTAGGTTTTTTTTTTTTTTTCTCAGCATAGAATACATGTGCTATTTGGGATTGACTAGTATGGTATTATACAAGTAACCCAAGAATAAAAAGTTCATAAGACCTGTATTAAGTTGTCATAATATATTTTTAGATCTGGGTGGTTTCTCAACTCTAGAATGCTAGTTCTTTTGTTATTACCTTAATCTTGCTCATTCATTCACAAGGCTTGAGCTTTTTTCTGCCGGCCCTGCTTCATAATGGTAGCAGGCAAGGATGTGATATACCTTGCTCTTCCTTTCAATCTTCATAAAAATCCTTTAAGCTAGGCCCAATTACACCCCCAAACCATGCAATTTCCAACCACAAGTGCGAATATAATGTAATATCATAATGTACTAATTAGTAATTACAATACCTGATAACTCATGTTCCCGAGAAAGGAATAACAAACCAATCACAGCTGCTCTCACATTTATTAAGTTACCATGGAAACGACAGCTACAAATGCTAACATGGTGATTATTAATCATTCCGTAACAACATATTTAAAAAGAAGATAGTATATAAATTTCATACGATTGCGCTTAAGTAACACATAAAATATTTGATGTGGTAACAACACTATTTTAAAATAAACCAATTTACTCTATTCCAAGAAATCATCAAAATCTATGCTTTCCGAAATAAAATTCACCTATCATCGAAAAATCCTCAATATGAAAGTCCAAAGACAACATCCCATGAATAAAGTGTGTATAAATACAGCTTTCATGTAAGTCGTCATGCAGGCAAGAATAACAAAGCGTATGAACCTGTTTGGATGCAAGCTTATAAGCACTATTGAGAGCTTCCCTACCAGAAAATACTCTTTTTCAGTAAAGAAACTCTCAGAAGCGCTTTTAGTTTGTATCCAAATAGACTCTATGACTCATACAACACAGACTTGACCAAATTCGTTGAAAAGATAAACACGTGGGAATTACAGTTACACAATTAATCAGAACAATCTCATAGCTTAGCAGATAAAATACAAGATAACGGTTAACGGCCGACAACTAACGACAACCAACCTTGTCCCATTAGGCACCGACAACAACCTTCACTATAAAATTCCACCAGCCAAAATCCATGCACACAGGAACATGCAATGTTTCATAAAAACAAATCCCCCTAAACATGAAAAACACAAGATCACACCCTGTCAAGTGAGCTAATCAACATGGCCCTCCAAGCAACAATGACATAAAGCATATAATTCCCACAGCACATACTCAACCAAATTCCTTGAAAAGATAAACTCACGGGAAGCAGAAGCACAGTTACCCTACTAATCAGAACAAGCCTTATAGCTTTCCGGTGATAGTACAAGACACCGGCTCACACCACCAACAACTAACAACTAACAACCACCAAGCCTAACAGCATTCCAATGTGAGTACGAGACACTGGCTTAGCACCAACAACTAACAACAACCAAACCAAGGGTCACCCCATTAGACAAGTCAAGGTTTTAAATTGCAGACAAATGCATCACCAACTGGTATCACGAAAACCTTAACATTATAGTGACAGCCTAAACGAGCAAAGCAGAGTCTGAAACTCGAAAATAGGTGAAAAGAAAAAGCACCTGCATGGTGTTGGCGATTGTGAGAGACGAGGCAAGTGAGCCAATCAACGACCTCCCTCCGCGCCCTCCACTTGCAAGCATTAATGGGCTGCGTGGATCCATAAGCCTGCAAGAAATGGTCAGGGACAACATACATCATGTGCCTCACACTCCGCTCAGTCCCCACCACCGCCAGCACCGATTTCCCCAACGCATCCTTCAGATAGAAATGAATCACTCGGTTCCCACGCTCCTGGCAAATCACCCGCTCCTCCCACGCCACGAAAACTCCACCCGACATCCTCACTCCCCAAAACCCTAGCACAACCCTCCCTCAAACCATTCTCACCAACACAACCTCAAACAAGAATTTTATAGAAAATTGAGGCGAAACTCAAGTCAAAGGAAGAATGGTTGAGCAAAAGGACAGAAATGTTAAAGTGCATTCATGGAGGCTTGTTTGCGTCTGCCACGAAGCGGAACGGAGTGGGCCCAGCCCAGTCGGTTGAATGGAGAGGCAGAGAGAAAAAAAGTGTTGTGTTTGGTTAGAGAGAGAGAGAGAGAGAGAAGTGTTGAGTGTTGAGTGTTGAGTCCTTAGTTTACCTTCTCTTCTTCTTCTTCTGTGCCATGTGCTCAATGCCTCAATCCACTCAATGGGCGTAGTTGGCGCAGAAGAGAAGGAAGAACAGAGAGGGCATAATGGGAATTCTCCATTCCGGGATATTCTACTTACGGACACGTCACACCTCCCATTTTCCATCACTCTATTCTCTATATTTCTATTTCACCACAGTCCACACCTCCTTCCTTTCTAGTTTCTATCTATACCTCCTCAAGTCTCTCATAATTTTTTATATTAAATAAATAATTTATTATCTAATAAGAAGTAATTCAATATTAACCTAAAATATATATTTTTTCTACAAGATTCAAACATTATCCTTATGTATAATGTTTATATTTATAAAAAAAACACACTTCATATTTCTGTATTTTTTAAAATAAAAAAATAATGAATATTTACTTAAAAAGTGTGAGATTTAGAAAATGAATATATATAATAATAGAGAAAATGATTTGGAGGTAGTTATAAACATAAATTAGTTTAAAATTTATATCAATCAAAATGAGATATTTTTTTTATTAAAAATATATTTTTTAAATCTCTTATCCTTTTAAGATATTCTTTTTCATTTTTATTTTGATATATTTATTTTGAACAAACTTATTAATAATTAAAATATTTTTATATTACATTATATCTTATTTATCATAAATTTAAATTTAAATTATATCAAAAATATTTATTTATGATAAATTTAAAATATAATAAAATATGTAATGAAAATATTTATTTATGAAACTGTATAAATAAATTTATATAAAATAAATAATTATCATGTGAATTCGATAGTTTATTAAACAAATGGCAGTTTATTAATTATTTTGACATTTGTACCCTTTAATTTTATTGTGTAATTTTACTTTTAGTTTATTTTTTAAAATATTAGCAATTTTAATTCTATTCTAATAAAATACATTTAAGCATCTATCTATTCTATAATATATATATATATATATATATATATATATATATTTATTTTTTTAAAATAAAAAAAATTACAAAAATTATCACAATGAAAATTAAACCTAGATCCTCGTACTTCTAACTATTTCATATCCTTCCTATTATTAACCCTAAATTCTAAATCATTATGCTAAGCCTAATAGGTATAATATATATATAATATATAAGGAGATATTTTATAAAGTTAAGAATACCGACCGTTTCATATTCATATACTATACAAGTATACATATAGTACGTGTGTTTTCTCATCAGTTAATTAAAACAAAACAAACTAAAAAATACAAAAAATTAAATTTGTATATAAATTAAGTCTCTCAGAGTCAAAAAAAAAAAAAACTGAATAAAAAAATTAAGTCTTTCACATTATTAATTTTATCTAACAATTATTAGAAATGTAATCGAGACGTGATTAACGTTAATTTAATTTGTACATATTTGAAGAAGAAAAATACAATATATATATATATATATATATTCAACAATTTTGAGAGAGAAATGATAAAAGAAGAATTAGTATCTGAAGTGATTTTCACAGCGTAGCATGTAGGGTAACGTTGAATCGGAATCGGAATTTAAGATTGTCTACGACAGCGATGCCTTTGGTTTAAGCATTTTGTTCCAAAAGGCATGCATACTTTTATTAAAAAATTAATTTGGAAGTTTAATTTAGGTTTAATTAGTTTCTCTCTATACAGTTTTATAAACTTTACTTTTTTATTTTTTATAATTAAAAATATTTTATCTTAGTTCTCATACAATTTTTTTTATTAATTTTTTTAATCTTACAGTTGTATAAATTTCATCTTTTAATTCTATAAACGACAAGAATTAAAAGAGAAAAAAAATAGTGTGTGTTATTTAAATTCTATAAACCACAAGAACTAAAAGAGAGAGAGAAAAAAAAGTTAGTGTATGTGTGATTAAACGTGAAATTTATTTAAGTAATTTATGCTTTAAAAACAATAGTTTCTCATTATTGGTTGAAGATATTCCTAATGCAAAAAATAAAATTATATTCATAACTCAATGGTTAGTATTAGTTTTGTAAAATAAGATAATGTTACTTAAAGTTGTTAGTATATGTGGTAATCTTTCTTTAATTAAAGGCTGAACTTTGATTTCGTGCTTAATATGAGATCAAAAGCAAAACTATGAATTGAAAGAAATTATATTATTTAATTATATATATATATAAACAATATAATGTCTTATATCGAAGATGGTATAGGTTTAACATTCTTTTTGTTGTGATTAGTAAGAAAATTTACAAAATTTAAACTTAAGATTTCATATATACTATTTCAATATTACTAGTCACCACTATGTTGAGTAGAATAAACTTTTATTGTCTTTTTGAAATGAAATATTTATCTCTTTAAGATAAAATAAATGTAATTTCTTATATAAATTTTTTTGAGAATAAATTTTTTATTTTTATCTTTTATTGAGATATTCTCATTCTCCTTACATTTATAATGAAAAACAAAAACACTACATCCGATAAAAATATGAGTTTAATTGTACATTTTTTATATTCATCTTTTATATATTTACAAATTTTGTAACTTAACTTTCAAAATTACATATTTTATCACCTAGGTTTCATATTTTTTGCATTTTTTTTTATCACTTTGTTAGTTGACCGTGTGAATGTTAATTGATATGTTGATGTAACAATTTTTCATGTTATCATATATAAATATCACACATAATAATTCATATTAGTAAACAACATATTATTTCATTAGTTAAGTAATAACATCAAATGATTAATTAACAAGTCATAAAATGTATAAAAATTTGAAAATTGGGTGACAAAATTTACAAAAATTTATAAAAGATGAGTAGAAAAAAAATGTATTAAAGCCTAAAATGTGTTTATACTCCCCTTGTCCACAATTATTGCAGTTATGACATTTAAAAAATATATGATGATTGATATTTTCATTTTTCAATGTAATATTAATTAATTTTGTTCTATTTTATCCCCTCATGAATTATCCAATCATCACAATTCAAAGTAATGCATTTATTAAGAGAGTAAACTGTTTTAATAAAATTATCTTAAATAGTGATAATTTTTTGTTCTTAATTCAAATTGTTGCAAACTAGAATCTATATTTTAAGTTGACCTTTACCCAAATTTAGAAGGCAATGAAGAAAGGACAAGTGAAGAAGAAAGAACGTTTGTGAGGGGGGCATGTAAGGTGGTGGGATCCACATTTTTACTACATTACATTGAGGGCACGGAAAGATAAGGCATGAACAAGATAAGGTTTGGTGTATTGTTGGTAGTATAGTATAGTTGCTGTCAATTTCCATCCACAAAATGGAAGCCACAAGTGTCAGTGGGATATAGCACAAGTTTATTGTGACACTCAGAAGCCAAAGAACATCAAATAACTTGCTTTCTCAATAGCTTCTCACATTAATCTATCTCCATTCATTTTCATATTCATCAAACTACCAGTAATGTACATATATATAGTCTGGTATCATATGGGAAAGAAATTAAGAATATTTCAAACACTAGATAACATCACATGCACCTTCAAAATTTTCAAATTTCAATCAGTGAGTGAAGAAAATTTTCATCTGTGGAATCTGGCACTGGAACACTGGTGCAAAATTGATATTTTACATCACTTCTATATCGATTTTTCGAAATTTGGTTATTCGAGGCTTGTGAAGACTTGGAACAAATAATCTCTCATGATATGCTCAGTTTTTAGTAGTTTAGGGTGTGTTTGTTTTTCCATTTGGTTCAGTTAAACGTGGATTCATTTAAAAGCATCAAAATATCAAGACTCATGCTTTTCTGTTCGTTGCTTTGAAATTTACGCCACCAATTATACAAATAGACACTTAGCAGCCCCATTTCTGCAATTCTCATTGCAGCTAACTTTAGAGGCAATATATACAATTATTTCCCAATTGGTGCTACTACTTTTTTTTTTTTTTTTTTGGATTCTAATCATATTAGATATATAGTTGGAACTTGTTATCTTAGATATATCTTCATCCTTGGTCTGGATTTTTATTATGGTAATTGTAATAGTACGTAAATTTTATATCGTAAAATATTTAAGAGAAAGATGAGAAATAAAAAAGAAAAAAGATAGAGAAGATGAGTGATGTGATAGAAAAAGAAAAACTTATTATAAGTGTAATATTTTTTTTCCCGAGATTCCTCTATGCCCTTCCTCCAGGAATCTTATCTTAATACTATATATAAAGTGAACAAGTTCTTTAATTATGATTTTTTTTCATTTTTTATTTAATACTCTATATATCCATTACAAATATTTTTTTATTAAATACTTTTTATTTACGACTCTTAACTAGTTAATTCAATTTATTTATTTTATAACAATTTATTACGCATCTGATTATGTTATATTCTTTGTTTACGGTGTTAAATAATTAAAAGATTTTAGATTTCTTAACTCCTTTTTCATCTAGCTAACTTTAAATGATTTATATGTTTTTAATAAATAATTTTTGTGAATAATTTTCATGTGCAACATAAATAATAATGTAAATAAATAATAGAAATAATATATATTTTTATTTGTATATTTAATTAGTTTTTTTTCTTTGTTATCTTAATATATATGAAGTAAAATGATTCTCTAATTATGATTTCTTGTCCATTTTTCATTTAATATTCTATATAAACACTACAGTTGTTTTTTATTAATTTTTTTTTACATCTCTTAACTAATCAATTCAATTCATATGTTTAATAGTAGATAATTATCCATGTCACCTTATCAAATTCTTTATTTATTAGGTGTTAAATAGTTAAAAGATTTGAGTCTTCTTAACTCATCTTTCATCTAGCTAACTTTAAATGATTTGTATATTTTCCATGAATAAATTTTGTGGACAATTTTCATATATAACACAAATAATAGTGTAAATAAATAACAAAAATAATATTATTTTTAATTGTTTGCTTAATTAGTCTTTTTTCTTTATTATGTATAATTTATTAGAAAATTATGTCAATTTAAAAAAAGTTGGAGGAATTGAGACATGTCATATCTTATTATAATATATATAAATTGAAGTAATTGGGATTTCGGTCCATTTTCCATTTAATACTTTATATACCTATTATAACTACTCTTCATTAAATATTTTTTTGTTTACAACTC